ACACCCAGCTTATTTGCGGCATCTCGGAGAGAGAGGTTAGGGTTTCGCTTGAAACTACCGGCAACTCTCTTTGTCGTCTCAGCGGCTTCCGGTTTTCGATTTCCCCCCGATCCAGACTTCCTGGCTGTCGACCAACGTTCCCCAAACACTTTAATTACATTTGTAACGGTTGATTTGGCAACTTTTAGCGATTTTGCCAACTTTGCGTGCGAGTAGCTCGGATTTTCGCAATGCGCGAGCAAAATTTTGATACGCTGCTCTTCTTGCTTGGACGGCATTTTGACAACTGAAGAGTTAATTCCAAAATAAAAATAGGAGCAACATTCTACACACACACACCTTCAAAATGAGGGGTGTTCAGGTTTTTTAAATGCAAAATTGAAAGAAATACGTCAAGTTGATATTGACCAAATTTTGACCGTATCACCCTTTATTGACGTCACAAAATGGCGGCAAACAGACCCCTGTTCGCCGCAAACGCCTGGACGGGCGAAGACTTTTCTCTGGAACGGCTTCATCTGAAACAGATGATTTGATTTGGATTTGATGGTACATTATGTACTCACTCACAATTATAGAAACACAAAATCGTTGCAGAATATCTTTATCTGTTTTGCAAATTGCGCCGCAAATTTACAGTTCATTGCGTGCCAACGCTACTGTTTTTCCGAAGCTGGCTGGTGGCTGACTCTAATCGACCACTCCGAGGACTACTCTGCTTTCGGAATTTGACTGGTTTCCTCAAACCTTTGATAGCTCGAGCGCTCGAGTACCTTACCGCAACTCAGCAGCAGCGAGAGGAAGCAGAGGAGATGCCAGCTAGATGGACGGGAGGGATGCCCCGGGATGCTGATAACTAGAATAGGCAAAACAAACAACATATCAACAGTTGAAATGGCCTCATCCGCATTTGTAAACAAAACTTTTTGTTGCCTTTTTTCGTGAATCGGAGGTCGCCTACGCATACCAACAACACTTTCAGATAAGGGAAGCTTCAACAGGTGAGCTCCGATCCACGAGAAAAGGCCGCAAGATGTTTTCTTTACTAAAACTGATGAGGTCTTTTCAATCTTTAATCTTAATTCATTAAACTCACCCTACGGATTGACTGTCGTTCGGTTTCCGCAAGCCGTCGAAAGCTCGAGTAACTTTCCGGAAGGATTGCAGCAGCTGCATCAGGAGCAGGAACAAGCAGGTCACTTTAATGCGCACAAATTTCACCCAATTTTAGGTAAAAAGTAAAGTTAATATTTGAAAACGCTCTTTACTCATAATATTAGTAAAAAGTAACGTAATTTATTCGTAAATTTTACCTATATTCTGGGTTTAAGTATCAATAACTAATTTTAGGTAAAATAAAAACCTAATTTTAGGTTATTTTATCTAAGCGTGCAGGAGAGCTAAATCCTTGCAGAACACATCCCAATCGTGACGCCTGCACTTGCAATCCTAATTCTTCGATGCAATCGGTGTAAATATTTACATTATTTGATAAGCCTCAGGTAATCATGAAAGCAGTAAGTCTCTTTTCTTCATTCAAATTGTTTTCAATAATTAAACGTCATGATTACCTGGGTTTTGTCAAAACTTGATAAGGTAATTATTTCCAGTGCTTGCACCAAAGAATAGCAGAATATCCCTCAGTAAAAATAGCTCTAACCAGGGGGGACGACACTTCAGGATTATCCCATTTTTACCCAAATCACTCCTAAAATGTTCAACGTGCACAAAATTTCAATCCATCCTATCTATTCTTTCTATTCCCAACTTATCCCTTCTGCATGCACACAAATCATCAAGCAAGCCGTGCAGTTTTCAGGTCGATCGCGAAGCACTGTCAGTTTTCAACGATCTTCATAATAAACATGGTGTTAAAACAATTTGATATGTGTTGAGTCGTTCAAGGTGGCGATTGTCCTGGCCAAGGATGAAGTGATTTCTCGATTGGATTCCCGAGGGAGCTTAAATTAAAATAGATGACGGACCACTCGTCTATAATTGGTCGCGGGGCAAATACATCAAGAACGTCATAGAGGAGACAAATGACAAATGAGAACATCTGAAATAAGAAACAGTAAAAATCGTTAAACTGTTTATTTTTTAATCTGAATTTGAAATAATTAATGAAACACACTCGATTCAGTTTTTCTGTGATTCAGTCCAATGGAAATGAAAAGAATCATAAAATTGAAACTGAACCCCAAATTTTCAAACGTTGAATGTGAAAATTCACAGATTTTGAGTGGTGCCAGTATTGCACGAATCCGACAATATATCTCGCTCTCTCATTTGTGGAGAGTCGATCGAATATTATAGGGCAGGTGTGGGATGAGCAGGATGACCAGTGAACCAAGAAATCGAAAAAAAACCGGGAATGACAAATCGGGGAAAAAATTACTTCATCTATTTTTTAGAAAAAAAGATTTTGGGACTTTGTAAAGTTTTAAGATTTTTGGACCAGACTAAACTTTTTTGGAATTTTGAGTAGATTTTAGGGATAACAAGTCATTTCAGATGGTATTAAAGGTAGTTTTAGAAAGCGCTCTAAGAGATTTTAGACTTTCACTCCAAGTCACTTTTGTGAGTTCAAATTCAGGGTAGAATTTTTAAGTTAATCTGTGGAGAATTGCAAATCGGTTGCGAAGATCACAGTATCGTGACCGTACCGAGGTTTCCAGCCTCGGTAACGGCTACATGAATCCGCGATGCTGCTATTCCTGCAAATGCTGCCACTTCTACTGGCTTTCACAAATTTCGTTTGCGTGTTTAGAATTAAGTGTTTTTTTCGTCGTGGAATCGATACATTCTATAAGTAGAGGGCTTTTGTAGTCCAGCTGTCACCATCCAAACATTATTTTTCACTGAGCATTGACTAAAATGGCTACTTCGATGTTTTTCTTTCGTACTGTTTCATTTCAGTTGCACGCATCCCCATGACAATTTAAAGCACCCTCGCATCCAATGCAATCCCACTAGGAATCCTATATTTTTTTTTTCTATCCTTACTCAATTTTCGTCAAGACGACAAACTCAAAAACTCTCTTCAATTACATTATTTTTACAGGCAAGCATGGTAAAAAAGAATTCATCTGAATGAGTGTCGTTCCCCCTGGCTCTAACACAGACTCTAAGTACGATCAAAACATCCAAAACACTCCTACAACCAGTTTAGGCCTGTATACACTGAAAACAGTCCCATGGTAACCACTACTATTTCGTAGGTTAAAAATGAAAACAAAATACCACTAAATTTCGGTAGAACGAATTTGTATTTGAAATGAAAACAACTGTTGCTGATATTACCATGCTGCGTCAAAAACGTTGGCGTAGCACGGTGAACCATTCTTCTAGTATAAACAAAAACAAAAGTGATTGCATCAACTACAACGTAAATTATTGTTGTAGTAAACGAAATTTCAGTTAATTCTACTACTATTGAGAATAGTATTGTTAACCATATTTATGTAGTAATTTCTATTGCGAAAATAAAATTACATTACTTTGAGACTTTCGACCTTTTTGTAGATTCCAATGAAATAAAAAATTTCATCATTTATGAAAATTTCTATTAAATTGAAAGCTCAGAAAAAAAGTTGTTCTGAGAAGCAATGTAGAATATAGTCATAATTTATTTATTTTGAAATACTCTGCACAACACACACACACACACTGAATGGTCCTGGTTGAGCAATGGTAATGGATTGATCCCGAGACCCCGGCAGAGATTTAGCAGGATTGCAGGAAGGCGGTGTCGGTCAGATAACGACACTTTTATCATAGTGCATGTTTGTGTCCGTTATTGCATATGGTTCGAAGCCTGTCAAAAATATAATGTTAAAAATTGTATATTTAATAATTGTTACTGATTACCAATTGCCATAAACAGATGAATCTAGCTCCTGATCGAGACAATTCTGCTGTTCCGGTATTTTGTCTGCTTCCACACAAATAAACCTTAATTAAATTAAAATTGTTTATTGTTAATTAGTTTTACCTCTCTAACAGCAATGATTCCAGGAATGTTTCAATAGTTCAACTTTAGCTGCCACTTTTAATTGCAACATGAAAAATACCCGCTGATGCGCACTTGTCGAATGAGTTTTTACAAAATGGCGATCATGCAATAATCTGTGATTACCACGGTTAGCAGTGAAATAGTAATAGTTTTGTGTTCCAAAAAAAAGTTAAAAACATAATAGAATGGAAAGAAATATCGGTTGATTTTACTATGAACTGTCATAGTATAATTAAACACATTTCAATAGTAAGCGATACCATACTATTTTTATCAGTGTAGAGATCGAAGCGAAGCGAAAATCTCATACAAAATACTAAATTTTTCACTTCGCTTTGAACTGTAAACAGATGCGATCTAGCGAAATCTAATGTTGTGGATCGCATCTTTTTCGCTTACGTTTTTTTTTTCGCGCATGCAGCGCTCGCGATAATCGGTAATCGATGTTTACCAATAGTGTAGGTATGTGCACTTCTGTTCGATTATCGTTATTTTTTACTGACTTTTAGGTATTCCTGTCTTAGCGTGTGAATTTTGTGTGCATTAATGCGTTCCTTTTTCTTCGTGTGTATGTATTTCTGCGAGTTTGTTTGTATTGGCGTTGACGGCACCGTCGAAAAATTTGCTCTTCCAGCAAATATAGACAGTTTCTTATGGGCATTTTTGGTGGAGCGAAAGGATAGTACAAAGTCCGCCATGTTTCACGCACAGTGTGACGTTTGCTTATGGATTTTCTCATAGGAGTAAAGAGCTACAGAGTCGCCGTCATCGCCAATTGGATTTATGTCCGATCTACTGGATCTAAAGCCCTACAGTAAAAGTATGGACGTCTGTCAAAAGTTGTTCCAATCGAACCGTCAAAATGCACCGCTTTGCTCGATTGGAACAGCTTTTTTCAGTTTTGTGGTGACAGTCGTCCATACTTTTATTGTAGGGCTTTAACTGGATCTACTCCGTTTTTTAAACTGATAGTAGGAGTGTCTTCTGGATTTTGTTGGTTATTTCCATGTTTTGCGTCACACGTTGAAAGCTGGACTAAAGGTGAACTATTGGTGTGATTGTACAGATTGCGTAGATAATGTTCTTGTGTTAACGATATCGGTGAAGGTCCTTCCTGAGTTATATGTTGATTACGCGTGTGGTTAATCAGCCTGTTTATCAACGTCGAGGGGTAATTATTCTGCCGGAGATGTTGAAAAATAATGTGTTTCTTATGATCTCTTGTTTTAGTGCTCAGCAATTGGACGTGTTTTCATATAGTTATTTTCGAGGTTGCTCTTCATGATTGTCGGTTGGAAAGAGAGTGGTAAGTCACCAACTGCCCGGAGGCGATGGGGATTGAATAACACTGTGTGTGCATGGTTTGGTCGTTGTTGCCAAGTCGGTGGTACTAGGGTGTCATTCAATTAATACAAAACTAACAATCTTATATTGTCGCACTTCTGTTAAATTCTCATTTGGTGACGATCGAAGCGCGCCGCTCATAAGCGCGCTGCAACCCCGCCCATAAGGATTCTACACAGGTGTGTACCCGAAAAAAAAATTACAGTGAAATTTTCAGTGGAAACAATGCTCTAACATTAATATTTATTGTCGAGAATAAAAATTATTGTTATGATGTGGTACCCTTCCGAAAACGGCAAAACTGCTACCTAGCTGTACAATGAATGTACATAATAAAATGTTGTTACAGTGATTTTTATCGTATTTTTCATTTATTTTATTGTTAACATGATTCGATCATGAACAATAATGAACAACTCTATTACAATAAAAATTGTTGTTACATTAAATATTGGTGTATTTTCATTGTGGGCTACTTCACGAACAATAAAAATAAATCTGATTGAAGCATGCAGACTATGAGAGGGTCAGCAACACTGCCAATGTAATTAAGATAGGCGCTGCTCGTATGGCTCTGGCTTTGACAGTTCGTTTGGCTCAAAACCAGGCAGTCCGCGTCCGCTCATATCTTATCCTAGACCCTCTTTAAAGCTTAATGGAGATCTTTTCCGTGCAGTCAATAATCATACAATAATAATTAAAAAATTCCACCACTTGAAGATGTCAGGAAGGAACTCTCAGGTGGAAGCATATTTCATGGGCGATTCTCTCCAGTCGAATGCATTAACTTATCAACGACGCTCAACCACCAAGGAGACGTGACCTAGGGATATCGAGCGCAGGGGAGTTGGCCTGCATTTCTCACAAGTTCCGGATCGAATCTCGATCCATAACCAGTAAAAAAAGGACCACCCGTAACAGACATACCACCCCCTTCCCTTCCCGGGCAATGTTTTATTTTTTCGATTTATTTTTAAAGTCGATAAAGTAGATCTGTCAAGCCAACACATACACTCTAAAGTACACTGTTATTTTTTTTAATCAATAAATTCGCCAACCAACAGTAAAATAACAATAATATATAATGTTATTGAAAAAAAATTATATGGGAAAATCACGAAAATTTCATTGTTAAGATACTTAACAACCCCCCTTTTTTATTGTAAATTTTCCATTTACCATGAAATTTATTGTTTTGTACAACATAAATCAAGGTAAATTTATTGTAGACGTAACAATATAAATCATTGTTAAGACAATAATTTTCGTCTTATTGTTACATTGTTTTTTAATGTATTTTTGTTGTTATTTTTTTTCGGGTAACTTAGATAGTATTTTATGGCAGCGGCTTGAGGAGCGAATCCTGGATAACGAGCGCCGTGGACGCAGTCGTACAGCTATAAACAGAGAACAGATGGTATAATCCCATTTTGAGAAATTATCCTGCCACACACAATATTGGTTCATCATTTGACTTGCCTTTTGATCCCAAATATATCTATGAGCTTACCCCAATATCGTACAAGAATCTGTGTTTAATAATTTGACATAGTTCAATGTCCGCGTGTGTGTGTGCGCAAAAGAATCCTCTTCGACGACTCCCACGCCTGGTAATGGCGGAGTGGCACGATTTGGGGTTGGTCACTGGTTCGGGGTATTTGGTGGAGACAGTTCTATCAAATTCTAGCCTTAATATGGGCTGATTCTGTGGTTTCGATCGGAGGGAGAAAACTAAACACTTCGCCTCGTCGGTAGGCTTACCATATCAAAAACTTGAAAAGGAGGACATTTCATTTGAGGTTTGGAGATTAAGGAGGACAATGATTCCTTTTCTTAACATTAAAGGAGGACAATGAGTTTTTATCAAACGTTTTAATAATATGTGCGCTATCACAAATTTCATGATTTGCTAAGGTTCAATTGAGATGGTTCATAACTTGTGGTAGATATCAATTTAATTCATGAAATGAAAACTGCAGCTTTACAGCCTAAAAACCATCCCAGCCTTTATCATGTACAAAAATCAGGATACATGTCATCGCTGATTGAAACCAACATGGAACATCTAAGCAACCTGTTAAATTTACCAGAGAGTTTATCGAACATTATAATTTATTTTCGAAATGTCAAATTTTTAGTAAAAATACAGAAAAATTGATGAATTTTCACTGACTCTTCGAAAATAATATATAATGTTCGAAAATCCCTCTGTTTTTGATCGTCCGATTTTCGAGAAATTGATTGTCAAAATTGATTCCTGGTTTGTCTGAAATATGCAGGTTTATTTAAAAATTTTCCATACGTCAAATTTAGGTTAAATTCACGAAATGGACAGCAACCTTGATCGCAGCCTAAATGTGGGGAGTTTTTTCCTTTATTTGACGTCGGTCTCTGTTCCGCAATCTAGTGCCAATCACCGACGGACATCGATTGCCATCCATTGACGGCAATCGAATGTGCAGGAAGGCAGCTTCCACACCTGCGTAGAATATCGCACCCATTCAAACACACATGGGCTGAGACCAACGGCTTTACTTCCCATCCGAAGGAAGACGTGACCAGAGATTTTTATGCCTCATGTGGGGAGTTGACAGCTGTAGTATACTCCTAGTCCCACCATCGAATGGCATTTGCTAGATAAGATAAAGTTGCGACATAATTAAACAAATAAGCTCTGCAAACAACGCTTTTTGAATTTTTTTTTATTAATATGTTACTGGAAAAATGCAAGGATTAAAAAGGAGGACATTTTTGGGCAAAAGGAGGACGTAGAAAAAATATTGAAAAAGGAGGACATGTCCTCCTTTAGGATACCATATGGTAACCCTACTCGTCGGTCTTATCGCATATATTCGCGCTTAAGGTCTGTATAGAGATCGAAGCGAAGCGAAAATCTCATACAAAATACAAAATTTTTCACCAGCGTGAAAAACGCAATTGGCTAATTTTTCGCTTCGCTTTGAACTGTAAACAGATACGATCCAGCGAAATCTAATTTTGTGGATCGTATCTTTTTCGCTTACGTTTATTTTTTTTTCACGCATGCAGCGCTCGCGAAAAGAGCAGCAGCTAAGCGAAAAGTTGACGTTTCGGGAGAGCGTATCTGTCAAATTTTCACTTCACCGGAGGTGTAAACTGATCGATTTCGTTTCACATGAACTGTAAACTGCGAAAAAAGGGAACTGGAAAATGTTCCACAAACATTTTTTCACAACCTTTTTCGCTAGTGAAATTTCATGACTTTTCGCGTGCTTCAATTTTCGTTTCGCTTCGATCTGTATACTAGGCTTTATGTTAAATTCTCATTTGGTGACGGTCGAAGCGCGCCGCTTATAAGAATTATACACAGGTGTGATACTAAGATAATATTTTATGGCAGTGGCTTGAGGAGCGAATCCTAGATAACGAGCCGCTGTGTGCTAAATCAATGGGCGCAGTCGTACGGCTATTAACAGAGCAGATGATAAAATCACCGACAAACCGACATGAAACTTAAACTTAACTCTTCACAGAAATTCAAAACAACCCAAAATTAAGTTCTTTTCACTCATCTCCTATGTTCCGTACGATAAGCCAAATTTGGGTAAACCGGCTCAAAGTAGTTTGCATTGAAGCACGGCAAAAAAAAATTACCCATCGCTAAGTTATTTTCTATTTTTTCTACCCAAAATTAAGTTCAATTAACTCAAATTTGGGTATATCGCATATTACTCAATTTTGGCTTCTCGTACGGAACTAGACGGTTGAGTCGAATCTTTCGTTCTTTTTTGACAACAATAGCGAGAGGAAATGAAATGGGCAGAGGTCAAATAACTCAAATTTGAGTTTAAAAAACCCAAGCGGTGGGTAGTTTTGTTTTTCTGTGTTGATCGAGAATGCATAACGGCGGATTAAAATGTGCAACGATCCCATCTGTCAAAACCATCGACATTTTTTATCTAGATAAAAATAATTAGACGGGAATAGATTAGACACGAACCAACTCATACGCATGCGTGTTCGTGGCTACACTCAAAGATAAATTAAATCAAAAAAGCTTAAAAAGTATGCAGATTCCCGCTTCACCTTATTGAGTCCGAGCAATGATTATTTCGGCAGTAGTCATGCATGATTCAAATCGAAATAATCTTTCCAGTATTAAATTTTATTCTTTTTCAGTACTGATATATTGTCGCGCTTATGTTAAATTCTCATTTGGTTACGGTCGAAGCGCGCCGCTCATAAGCGCGATGCAACCATAGAGGTAACTCTAAGACTAGAAGGTCCCGAAATAACGTGCTCAACTTTTTGGCTCAGCTCTTCGGTCCCAAGCTAATCGATTCACCCCTCGAAACATAGGAAAAACCAATAACCCCTCATTTTATCTGTCAAACTTTCATAGCGAATCAAAACAAACATTGCGTAGTACTAGAATTTCGACTAGAATAGGGTACGTTAATCGTTTGCTTGGTACCAATAGGCTACTAAAGTGGTGAGCCAATTTAAAATCGTTAGTTTCGTATTGATTGTTGATGCAACCCAGTCCATAAGGATTATACACACTTAAATTTTTTCGCCGAGATTCCAACAGCCGAGTAGTTCTGCAATTTAGTTTGCTGAGGTTCAGCAAAACAATTGCCGAGACTCAGCTAACAAATATCATTTTGCTGAGATTTCAGCTAACAAACAGATATTTTGCAGATATGTCAGCAAAAGTATATGCCAAGGTAATCGGCTGTTGGAGATTTTACCGAGCTAGATTAAGTGTGTACACAGGTGTGTAACTTTGATAGTATTTTATGGCAGCGGCTTGAGGAACGAATCCTGGATAAAGAGCCGCTGTGTGTTAATAAAGAGGGTTTCGGATGGACCAGGAGGAATAAAACGATTAACAACGCGATTTACAAGAAGCGATAAAAAGGTTAATGTGTATTCTCTCGTGTTTTGTTTACAAGTGATGAAAAATGAATAATGAACACCAGC